ACCCTGACATGATGTGGATGCCAATGCAATGCATAAAGAAAAGCACATTAATCTGATGCTCACTGCTGTTTTATCTGCACATCATAAAGTCTGGTGTTCAATGTCTTAAAGGAAGACGTAAGACAACAAAAAAAAAACTCAGCAAATGACGTACAGTCCTGAGACACATGTTCAGAAATCATATATTCATATCTACACAGATGTTCATCCAAATCCCTATCCATGGTTGAAATCTTCAGAAGATCCCACTGTTGTGTCAGAGGAGACGGAGGAAGATTGAAGAGAAAGGTGAAGATAAGGAGCGTCATACATCCCACATCCGAGGGCATAACACAACAAGGAAACAAGAAAGCTTAGAGGATGGTACCTTAGTTGCACGACCCTCCATAAAATGATAAAGCCATTTCTTTATCACGCTTAGAAATCACGGACTTTCAACTCACCCAGTCCAGGCTGATGCTGCAATGCAGTCTCCAAGGTCCCGTCCTTCATATGAGATGTTAAACTGATGTCCTGTCTCACGTCCTGTTCAGGTGGATGTTAAACATCCCAGGGCACTACTCGAAAAGAGAAGCGAAATTCTCTCACTCAGTTTCCTGGCCAAACAGCCACATGATAACCATGTTCATGATGTACGTGTCCAGTTAATGAATGCATAGGAACATTAATCCTTTTCATTGAAGGTTAGTTACATAATTCAGGGAACCTGTTTATGTTTTAACATGGTTAGTCCACGGGCTATTAGACCCCCAATGCCCTTTGAGTGCTCTATCGACCAGTCTGGTAGAAGTGTTGAGCAATGCTGAGCTCCGCACTGTGTTCTGCACCACACAGAAGTAATCACTGGAAGATCAATGCAGTGATTTTTCCGTTCAAAGTTGTACGTCCATAGTTGTTCCAAACTTATTTATCGGCAACAATGATCAGCAGTGAAGTTGATTATTTCTTTTGTTACGGCTGAAGGTAAAAAAAAATGTTTTTTTTGGTCATTGAAGACTTTCTAAATAAAAAAAACAGTTGCCTTCCCCTAAATGTTAGAAAGCCGATTCTTACTTTTCTAAAAGACAACTGTAAGTGGAACATGAAAATAATAATAATAATCCTTGCATTTGATGTAGCGCCTTATCACGTCTTCGAGACGTCTCAAAGCGCTTCACAGCACATGCTGTAAATTCTCAAGGGCTTATTTCCTTGATGTATGCACATAAACATATAAACTACGCTTCGCCCACAAAATACACAGTCAGTTCCCTTTGCAGTATATTCTGCGAAGCTCTTTGAGACTTCTCGAAGAAGTGATAAGGCGCTATATCAGATGCAAGGATTATTATTATTATTACAAGAGGCAATTTGCCTTTCCCTTTGCTAGGCACAATAACTCATTAAAAACAGTTGTATAAGGAATACTTTACAATTATGCCCGGCATAATTTGATCCTGTCCCTTAGGTGAATTATATAACACGACCAAAACATAGTTGGTAGTTTACGAAAGTCCCAGATTGCTTAAAATGATCCCTAAAAGTCATTTGGAAGTCACCAGTGTGATGGTGTTGTGGTGAATGATGATGAATCTTAATGGTTCTATAAATCATAGCAGTTTCGTGCGCAGTCAATTCTATGTGGGAGATTTTAATTTGTCTAATAGAATGGGAGATATTAAATCCTGCTTCAAACGCTCTTGTGACGTGCAAAAAACATTCGCTGCAAGTCATCCCTTTTGTAAGTGAGAGAGGTTGCTTCCTCAAAAAGATCCAGCTTCCAAAGGGAGACCGTAAGACTTCTCTGAAGTCCTGCGCAATCTCATTATTATTAATAATAATAATAATAATCATTATAATGCTTACATTTGGCATAGCGCCTTTCAGGGGGCTTGCAGGCTAAGACATAGTGGGATTTCAGACCTCTGATAACTACATCAAATGTTAGTAACAACAGAAATAAATGTTCTGAAATCCGTGATGGCTGAACGAGGATGTTATTACAGGCTGGTGATCGCAGCATAGGTTTTCAATCTGCAATCTGCTTTGGAAAATATCTATTTTTAAGGAACTTTTTTTTTTAAGTGGCTTTAACAGCTGTCTTTCTCTCTTACCTTCTAATTATATAACGTTTTTCTTTCCCCTTTAATTCATTCTCTCTCTCTCTCTCTCTCTCTCTTTTGCTAACCAAAAGTTTTCCCTCCAAATACAGTGTATTCTTGGGACAGGTTTGTCCAAGAATTGAACCTAAATCATCGAACTATCTGTATTCAAAGTATGCTGTTTTCTTACAGTTAACTCCAGGCTTTTCTTATTTGCCCAGATTTCTCCCTGTATTTATATTAGCATCAAAACTTATGTCTGTACCACGCAAAACACTGGTGCGTGGGATTTACTGGAATGAATCACACATCTTAATAATAAAAGTAATAATAATCCTTACATTTGATGTAGCGCTTTTCATGTCTTCATGACGTCTCAAAGCGCTTCACAGAATAGACTGTAAAGTGTATTTGTGGGTGAAACGCGGCAGCCAATTGCGCACAGCGTCCCACAAACAGTCGTGGATTGAGTGACCAAATTATTATTGTACAACAAGTCCAACCAGCCCTCTCCAGCCAGAGCTTAGTGCTCATAAATTTGCATTGACTTTATACGTCTTCACGCTCGGCTACCTCTGATGTGACACTGCGGTTGTCTGCAATGGTTAATTTCCTGCACCGCTGTTCCCTTAACACATTTCTTTCATTTCTGTGTCGGCTCGATACAGAAGCCCAAGGTATAAGGTGTTGCAGAAAAGCCAGGGGAGTGGAAACATCGCTCTCCAGTCAGGCCGTGGAAATCTAGGAGTGGGGAAATGTGTCAATGATGGACTCGACATAGACCTCTTTCCACTCCTGTCACTCACGCTCGCGTCAATCAAATGTTGCCCGTACAGTCACAGGTGTTTGTTCCCTATGGCCGTGGTCCGTGGAGGATCGAATTCAAAACCAGCAAAGTATCTTAGCCCCAGGCCAGTCTGTGGCAGGATAATACGTCTCTTACATTTCCATAATCTCTTCTCCTTCATCGCTATCAACGAGAAGAATGAAGAAACCTCTAAACACACATTTACCCCTTGTCTTAAAACAGTTTGAAAGAATATATTCTTACAGTTCTACGATGGGTATACGTGATTCTGCTTCCCTGTCCATAGGACTGAACAACAAATGCTAACTGTAACCCGGGCTGAACACTTCGCTTGATTCAACCCAAATTCCACCTGCTCTGAACCTGTGCAACCATTTCATCTTAAAATGTAAGGATGCATAGCGTTGCGGAAAAAATTCTTAATTAATACGGTCTCGATTTGAAAGCCGGTTTCCTGCCAATCTTAGCAAGATCCGACGTCCAAATTAAGACTGATGGCATTTTTAAAAAATATTTGCTTAATTGCGCACGAATTTGGTCACTCAATCCATGACTGTTTGCGGGACGCTGCTGTGCGCAATTGACCGCCTGCAAAATACAGTCGATACACTTTACAATACATTCTGTGAAGCACTTTGAGACGTTTCAAGGACGTGATAAGGTGCCATATCAAATGCAAGGATTATTATTATCTTAATTTTTAAGATAAAAATAGTCTTACAGGAAAAAGCTAGACGGCATTTCAGATCTTCTGTCTCTGTCGGTCTCTTTCTCTCTCCCTCGCTCTCTCTCTCTCTTTCTTTCTCTCTGTTTAGGAGCAATAATTGTGCACTCGGATTAATACATGTGGTGACCTTGTGAGCTCCAGCACCAAATCTAATTGTTTTTATCCTTGGCACTCCAATCCTGGTTCGTGCAGTGAACAAATATAAATAAAATACGTCAGCATCCACATGTTCAGTGGAACATTCTCAGTTTATCTCACTCCTTACTGGAGCAGTGGCCGAGAGAAAGACAGACAGAGAGAGAGAGAGACAGAGAGAGAGAGACTTCATTCAAGCACTTCCCACCAGCAATGCTCCTCCACTCAATTTATGGTTTGGTAGCCTAGTGCATCTATAATAATAATAATAATAATCCTTGCATTTGATATAGTGCTTTTCACGTCGGGAGAGGACGTCCCAAAGCGCTTCACAGAACCCATTGTAAAGTGAATTGACTGTATATTTGTGGGCGAACGCGGCAGCCAATTGCGCACAGCAATGTCCCACAAACAGTCATGGATTGAAAATGACCAATTTATTATTGTTTTTGTTTTTTTGGAGGGATTATTATTAGGCTCTAGAGTAAGGAAACTTGCCCAAGGTTTCGCCCTCTGCCTGGAATTGAACTCAGGTCTCTCACTTGCAAAGCGAGTGCTCTAACCACTGAGCTACAGAACTCCACACTGGACAGTAACAACCGCATACAACTGTTTCTCCATTCCACACGGAAATTGAACTTTCCCAATTCAGGGTCCACTATATTTCTAGGCTTGTACCATCACTCGTCATCGTGTACATCCATCCATCCATTCACCCCAACCCCCCACCAATCAGTCATTCGCCAAATAGTGTAAAGGACCTTGAAATAGGGACGTATCTGGCAAGATATGGACAGAGACTTTTTCTGCACATGACACATGGCGAAGAGAGAGGGAAAATGTTAGCATGGTGATGATTACCCATCGTGAGTCAATTACACCTAATTTGGTTTGTTCGGTAATTTGGTTTGGTTGGTAACATTGAAGGATTTATGAAGATAATATTTTGTTCCCAATGCTTCCCCGTGTTTGTCTCTTTCTCTCTCGGCAAATCCTCCCATCCGTTATCAATAAGTGTCGTGTTATTATTCTCTGCAGTGCGTAGACATTCAGCTGCTTGTGCATCAAACAAGACTTGATCCATTTTAGTAGAACACTGCATTCCCTCACCCCAGACAGCTCCTGCAGTTAGAGGATGAAATAAAACACCCATTAGCTCTGTCTCCGCAGGAGTGGGAGTAAGTGCAATATGTAGCTCTCATTTCTATCATGTAACATTAATATATTTTAACGTGTGTTTTTTTTGCAGGCCCTCCAGTCAATGTTACGTGCAACATATTTATTAACAGCTTTGGCTCAATAGCAGAAACCACCATGGTAAGTGTTTCCAAATTCCTTGCATTAAAGACTGAAGTGCCTTTCTGTAAGTGAGTGTGATGATGTGTGTGTGTGTGTTATGGCAACTGAACATAAAGTAGATGTGCTGCGCAGATAAAATGTCTCTCCACTATCGGGCACAACTTGAAAACAAGTTAATGCACGGAGATGAAGAGCAACGCTAAATTATCTGGGCTTTGATCTGCACCAAAATTCCTGGTCTCGAGAGCGGTTGATGCTTGAGAATGTGCCTGTGTGATAGTTTTGCCCACAAAATACACAGTCAATTTACTGTACAGTATATTCTGTGAAGCGTTTTGAGACGTCGCGACGACGTGATAAGGCGTTATATCAAATGCAAGGATTATTATTATTATTATTATTATTAAAGTGTTGCCTGAAAGTGTACAAACACCAACTGAGCAAGTGTGAAGCGCACATTTCTAACTTTCTTGCTATCATTGTTTGCGAGGGTAAGGTTTCATGTGTGTAGTGGAGGTGCGTGGCTGGTGGGATTGGGGTGGGGGGGAAGAAATTATGTGGATTATTTCCTCCGTTCAACATTAGACCTGTTTAGAGTAGAGTACTGAATCAGCCCAATAGTTGAGGCTTAATGATTGAGTTTCCTCGTGCTATCCACTGTTAAGGAAAGTTAAGGCACTTAATACACAGCATTGAATAATGGATTGCAGAGGAGAACTATTCCCTCTGAATAGTCTAACCAACCTCAAATGATGTTATAAGACACTTGCGCTCAAAATGATTGTGGTGATGTGATGGTTCCCAATAAAATCAGGATGAACACTTAACCTTCAGCCTTCCAGCCTTGTGGAGTTGAAAAAAATCAATACACCAGCCACGTATCGCATATATTCTTTATAAACGGTGTTGATTGAAGGAGGAGATTTGGTTTCGGAAGAGGCAAAACTTTTGCTTTGGTGGTTTATAAATTTAGTTTGTTTTAACCTCTCTGCAATGTAAATTCACTTGTGTTTTGGTTGATTAATCCCAGGTACCAGCCTGGCTCAGCAGCTAGCGCTCGAAATCCCATGTTGGGATTTTGAGCTCACAGTCTAACATGACACTCCAGAAATAGTATTTCGACCCAGCAGGGAAAGAAAGCAAACAAACTTGCATCGCTTGTACAAAGCTGCAGTAATAATCAAACAAATACCCTCCTGTGGTCTGCAGGCAGCCTGATGTGTTACTTCAAATTACCAATATATATAACTATTATAAAAATAGGGGAATAATTCCTCCAAAAACGCGGTGATCGCTCAAACCGCGACCGTTTGTGGGATTCTGCTGTGCCAAATCGGCTGCCGTTTTTCGCCCCCAAAATATACAGTCAATTCACTTTACAGTGTGTTCTGTGAAGCGCTTTGAGACAGCTCACTGATGTGATAAGGTGCTGTATCAAATGCCAGGATTATTATTTATTATAACACCTTATAACCGCAGATTATAAATGAGAATAATATTAATGTTCATAGTCCTTTCGTTTAAAACGTCTCAACGTGCAATACAAGATTGACTGTAAAGGGTAGTGTTTGTGGGCATCTGCAGGAGCCAATCTGCGTACAGCTCGGAGGCGAATGACTAATTTAACTCATTCTGTTCATGAACTATCTTTTGCCTTTTGACGTCACCTAAATCAGTCGATTACGTTAAAAGTCTCTGCTTCTAATCTGATGGGAAAATGTGGGCACAGAGGTATCACAACGGTTAGATTTGACCTTGACATGAGGAGTCCCTGAGGTGAACATTTACCCCGACATGTAGAAATATGCGATCTGAAAGATGGGAGGTATTTTTAATCTCTGTTACAAAAGCATCGCTCGGTGTCAAACCCCTTTTGCTGATAGAGAGATGGCATGTTGTATAGTGTGCCTCAGACCTCAGCAGGAATTTCATCAGCGTTGTCCTAACCTGTCATGTTATTGTCTCTTCTTTTTACAACTGATCTTAATTTGCCAAGAAATTCGTCATCTTGTTTACCCGAACCTTTTCTTTTAAAAAAAATTAAACTAAATAGACGGCTGCAACTCGTTGCTTGTTCCGTGACCTGCTATGCTGGTTCTGAATAAGTGACACGCGTGAGGTTAACTGAAGATCGCAAGACCAAGTTCAGATGGAGAAAGTTCTTGGGCCCGTTCAGATCTCACCCTCCCAGAGCTCCCAACCTCCCATCACAGCGTCAAAGCTGTTTTCTTAAGCAGTGTCCTGGTCCCAACCACCTGTGACAACCGTTAACTATCCTCTCTCTTGAGTTCACAGTCTAGAATGACACTCCAGTGCAGTATTGGAGCAGTGCTGTATTTTTGTCGGAGGTGTTAATGGATATTAAACTGAGGTCCTGTCTGCCTGTACAGGTGGAAATTATACGTCCGACTTGAAAAGAGAAGAGAGTTTCTCACTGTGTCCCGGCCAGCAATCCCCCAGTTAAAACTGACCACCTCAATGGATGTTTGTGGGACGTTGCTGTGTACAAACTGACCAAAAAAGACACAGTAACTGAATTTCACGTTAAAATCCTGAGACGTTTTGATGGTATGATAAGGTGCTATGCTAAATGGGAGGATTATTATTATTACAGTAGTAGTTTTTTTTTTTGCCGGGTTTTACTTCCTCGAACCCATTTAAAAGCTTGCATTGTCTTCTCTGCCGACCTTGAGGTGTGAGCATTGAGAAAAGGAGACGGACGTAAGGTAAGTTTGATGCCAAGAACACAGTGACCGATTTGCTTCCACGTGGTGAGAAAGGAACAATGATTCAGAGTCGCTTGGCGAAGTGGCTTTCTCCTGTTATCAAATGGAGATTCTTAAGAGGAACAATTCATTTCCAAATGGATCTGAAGTCATCTGCCATAGAGTACGTGCTCAGGTTATTGCACAAGAAGGTCAGTCAGCAGCTTATTGCTGACCGTAATGACCCAACTCTTCACTACGCAACGTGAGTCACTGAAGTGAGCAAGCTCAAAGAGTTTTCAAAGTTATATAATGATTCGCCCACAAAATACACCATCCATCCACTTTATGTGATAATAATAATTACATAAATACAATGAACAACTATCGTGAAGCACTTTGAGACGTTTGCAGGCACTCCATCAAATGCCTATAGTTATTATCATCTACAAACCTAATGTTTGTACTTGCATTCGATATAGCTCCTTATCAAGTCGTCGAGACGTCTCAAAACAATTCACCGAACGCACTGTAAAGTGTAGTGACTGGGTGTTTTGTGGGCGAAACCTTACTATACATTCAGTGAAACGCATTTAGACATCTCAATGACGCGATGAGGCGCCATATCAAATGCAAGGATTATTATTATAATCGTTCAGGGAGAAAAGGAAAAGATTTGGATGGGATGCAGCTTCCAAAACTAGACCCCCGTGAGGAACGAAGTCCGAATCTGAAATAAAAACAGAAGTCGCTGGGAACGCTCTGCAGGTCGGACAGGATCTAGGGAGAGAGAGGAAAACGTTCCCAGTGACTTCTGTTTTTATTTCAGGTTTCCCTCATCCGCAGTATTTTGCCCTTTGGCTCCGAGTCTGAGGTTGATCCAGCTCAGATCGGATCCTGATTAACAGATCGGCCTGAGTGCCTCTCTGTAGGGCCTGATGATCACTCGTTGATGCATTTGCTCATAAATAAACAGAGCTATCGATGACTGAATGGGTCAACAGCCCCTGTCACTCATCCTGATCGTAAATGTCACTCGCGTCTTGTTTTTTTTTTACGCAGCGAGTTGTTACGATCTGGAACACACGGCCTGAAAGGGTGGTGGGAGGCAGACTCGATGATAACTTTCAAAAGGGGATTAATTGGGTGTTTACTTGAAAAGGAAAGATTTTGCGAAGCTATGGGGAAAGAGCAGGGAGGAGTGGGACTGTTTGGGTAGCTCTTTCACAGAGCACGATGGGTCGAATGGCCTCCCTCTGTGCTGTAGGATTCTGCGATTCTATGATAAGAAAGGAGATAGGAGTGTTATGAAGAACCAAAGAGACTGCTGCTTAGGTGGGTGACCAGAGAAGTAAGTGAGAGAGTGAGACAGACAGATTCAGAGAGAGAGTCAAAATGGCTGGAATCTTACCCACTGACATTGAGATAGAAGCGGATACTGTATATAATAATAATAATAATAATCCTTGCATTTGATACAGCGCCTTATCACGTCTTCGAGACGTCTCGAAGCGCTTGACAGGAGATTATAATGTGAATTGACTGTGTATTTTGTGGGTGAAACAAGATAAATACCGTGGGGGGGGGGGTGGGGTGGACACGGGAAGCAGACCCGAGTGGATAGACTGAGCGCGTAATATAATTCCGGGAGAATTAATTGAAACACGACGCAAGCCACTTCCAGGAGTTTGCAGTCAAGCCCCGGCATTGCTCCGACACGGAGTGATTGGGTGGTGAACTCCTGTACGTTTCCTCCTCCCTCCCTCCCTCCCTCCCCGCAGGATTATCGAGTCAACATCTTCCTGCGTCAGCAGTGGAACGACCCCCGCCTGGCGTACAGCGAGTTCCCCGACAACTCGCTGGATCTGGACCCCTCCATGTTGGATTCCATTTGGAAGCCGGATTTGTTCTTCGCCAACGAGAAGGGAGCTCACTTCCACGAGATCACCACCGACAACAAGTTACTGCGCATCTTCAAAAATGGTAACGTCCTCTACAGCATCAGGTGAGTCACCGGCCAGTCTGGACGCACAGTAGATTACGCCACTCAATACACGGCTCGGGCACCCTCGTACAGGGATGTAAACGGCGCACAGTTCGCCACGTTAAGGTACGAATGATGCGTTTGAGCTAATGGCTCCGGCCTGCTCCACGTCCCCCGACACGCCCGCCCCCACCATTGGCGGGAGAGCCTTCAGCCACTCTGCCCCCAACCTCTGGAATTCCATCCCCCAGTCACTCCGCCTCGCCCCCTCCTCAGCCTCCTTCAAGTCCCGCCTCAAGACCCTCCTCTTCGACCGTGCCATCGGCCACCCCCCCTTCCCCTCCCCTCCCTTCTCCCCCCCTGACCCCAGCTCGGGTCTGAAATGCTGTTCTCCAGCGCCTTGGGACGTCCTCCCGACATGAAACGCGCTATACAAATGTAATCTTGTTGTTGTTGTTGTTGGTCAGAGTGCTCGCCTCGCAAGGGAGAGTGACCCGGGTTTGATTCCCGGGCAGGGCGAAGAGTTTTTTACTCCACACGCACACGCGCTTCTGTTTACTGAGCGGTAAATAGGAACCTGGTTGGTAGTCGATTGTAGGATCGCTTTCCGGGGGATAATAATCCCTTCCACATTAATAAAGAAATGATAATAATTTGGTCACTCAATCCACGACCGTTTGTGGGACGCTGCTGGGTGCAATTGGCTGCTGTTTTTTTTGCGCACAAAATTTACAGTCAATTCACTTTACGGTATAATCCGTGAAGCGCTTTGAGACTTCTCGACGACGTGATCAGGTGCTATACTTCCACCTCTGCGATAAAGTGCTGCCAAATCAAATAGGGCCCGGCGCTTCAATCGGGATGATGAAAGCAGGATAAGAGGACTTCATCTGAAAATTCGAGTTAAAGACAGAGAAAGGGGGAGCCAGAGGAAAAGAATTCTTTGCAGCATCAATAAGTAACGTACACCAATAGAGGTTAACTGCCTACGGATTTATTGCAAATTTAATTTCAATAACATTTTTAAAAAGGGAATTGGATGTTTACTTGAAAGGGAACAACTTGTGAGGCTATGGGGAAAGGGCGGGGGGAGTGGGACTACTTGGGCAGTTCTTTCAAAGAGTCGGCACAGGCACAATGGGCCGAATGGCCTCCATCTGTGCTGTAAGATTCTATGATTCTAACGCGGAGCTGCAGATCTGCAGTGTGAGGGCCACTGTGTTTCGATCTCTTACTTCTTGTATCACCGTTCACGTCGCAGAACTGTTATAATCAGCACTACACACGGCTGAGCAGGAAGTATACAGATACCCATAGGAAATGCTGTCATTCTTTGCCTCTTTTACAGGATCACCCTGGTCTTAGCCTGCCCCATGGATCTCAAGAATTTCCCAATGGACGTGCAAACATGTATAATGCAGCTGGAAAGCTGTAAGTGCTTTTTTTTCCTGTTTAGAATCGGAGAAATTTACAGCTTACAATTTGTAATTTGATGACTTTATTCTCACATCGACATCAAGAGCCACTAATCTAACCGAAGTTGACCCCGTGTCTTGTGGCTGACTTCTCTCTATCAACTCCTGCAGCGTCGGTTGTAAAACATTTTATTAATGTGTTACTTCTGAGCAGTTGCATGTAAAGTGTCGGGTTGATATCAATTTATCAGCACGTTACGTTGCTAACAATGATCAGAGAGTTGTTAAAGCTGCTGTCTCTTTTCATCTCCGATCACCCTCACTTTACAGTGTGTTCTGTGAAGTCCTTTGAGACGTCTTGACGACGTGATAAGGCGCTACATCAAATGACCATAAGACCTTAAGACGTAGGAGCAGGGGTAGGTCATTCGGCCCCTCGAGCCTGTGCCCCGCCATTTAATAAGATCATGGCTGATCTTCTAACCTAATTCCATTTACCCGCCCTTTCCTATATCCCTTAATCCCTCTATCCTTTAGAAAACTATCAACCTCAGTCCTGAATATGTTCAAGGACTGAGCATCCACAGCCTTCTGGGGTAGAGAATTCCACAAATTCCACAAGTGCAAGGATTACTATTACTATCCTTAATAATGTCGGTCTACTCTTTGGTTCAACTATTTTTCTTCTTGTGGTTCTGTTAATTCCTATAGTTCTGGGCGGGGTTCTGGAAGGCTGAGTTCCTTACATTTGAAAGAGCGCTTTTCACAACTGGAGGGCATCCCGAAACACCTCACAGGATTCACTGTAAAGTGCAGTGACTGTGCGTTTTGTCAGCATTTCACATCCGACTGCCTCAACACAACGAACAACTCTTGTGAAGCACTCTGAGACGTTTCAGCATTATAGGCGCTCCATCAAGTGCAAGGAGTTATTTGCCGCCTTCGAGCATGCAGTCATTACCCTTGACATTTCAATCCTTTGAAGCGCTTTGAGGCATCTTGACGCATCTGTATCAGATGCCAGGGTTAGTCATTCCTCTCAGCAATTCGACATTTGTTTTAAAAGCTTATCCTTGTGCCCGCGAAGCAAAAGGGAATGTCACATCGCCGGGTCACACACTGGGAATTGTTCCAAACTCGTTAGCTGCCCCCGGCTTGGCGTTTGTCATTTACACGCGTTAACTTTTTTTTTTTGTCTCCCAACCCCCATCTTTTGCTTCGTGTCTTCCAGTCGGATACACCATGAACGACCTGATTTTCGAATGGGATGAGCTGGCTGCTGTGCAGATCTCGGAGGGGTTAACTTTGCCACAGTTTATTCTCAAAGAGGAAAAGGATTTGAGATACTGCACAAAGCACTACAATACAGGTGGGGTGGAGCGCCTGGAAACACAATAAAAATAGGGTAGAATCTAGGTTGAGTTTCTCCCTCCTGCACCCCCCCCCCCCCCCATATAAGAACATAAGAATTTGCTGGGCAAAAGAAGACATTCAGCTCACCTTCCACCACCTTGGAAATCGCATACACTAACTATATAAGTCTCAAACTCAAGTCTCTTCTCCGTCGCTGAACGTGCTGTTAGAATAATGTCTAGTGAGGTCCAGTCAAAAGTGTTCAAGCTTCAACTTAACCTCGTATGTGGCCTTCATTACCTTTTTCTGTCCCGGTCAGGAAAATTTACCTGCATAGAAGCACGTTTCCACCTGGAGAGACAGATGGGATACTATTTGATCCAGATGTACATCCCTAGTCTCCTTATCGTCATCCTTTCCTGGGTCTCCTTTTGGATTAACATGGACGCAGCCCCGGCTCGTGTTGGTCTGGGGATCACCACAGTGCTTACCATGACCACTCAGAGCTCAGGCTCCCGAGCTTCCCTACCAAAGGTAAGTGGGCTATTCGTTGAGTCACTTACTAACAACAACAACAACAGGCCTCGTATTGCGTCCTAATCCCCTCTTCCAAACCCCTCTCTTTCCAGCTCCATTATTATTTAATTATTGTTAGATTCGATGATTCTGTATGATTCTAAGTAATGCATCGAGTTTCCTCTTGAATACCTTGACGAAACATGTACATACTAATCAGACTCCCTCGAATGGGAGTGGAGAGCGGATTCAGGGCTGCGCGCTTGTGTGCCCGCTGCTCACTTGCGTGAAGAGCAAAACAGGTTATGAGCCAGAGCGCGGTGAATAACAACTGCCTCTCCACACCCCAGGTATCCTATGTGAAAGCCATTGACATCTGGATGGCCGTCTGCTTACTCTTTGTCTTCTCCGCGCTGTTGGAATACGCAGCTGTCAACTTTGTATCCCGCCAGCATAAAGAACTGCTGAGGTTACGACGTCGAAGACGTCTGCACAAGGTATGACCATCATCTCACACACACACCCTTACCTGCCCTTCCTATAACCCCCAGGTAAGTACATATACACCAGCACAGGTACAGGTGTGAACTTGGGTTACCAGGCAGGGCAGAAAGACTGACCGTACCTAGCCTGGGTGTACACAGATGTTTACTTGAGTCGTTCCCCTCTCACCGAGGACAAAGGAATTAATAATAATAATAATAAGCCTTGCATTTGATATGGCGCTTTTCACATCTTCTCGACGTCTCAAAGCGCTTCACACAATAAGCTGTAAAGTGAATTGACCGTATATATTGTGGGCGAAACGCGGCAGCCAATTGCGCACAGCGGCGTCCCACAAACAGTCGTGGATCGAGTGACCAAATTATTACGATGACTATTATTATTTTTTAAGGATTATTATTATTATCATTTAGCAGCTCCCACTAACTCTAAATTTCACCAACAATATTAGCTGTTGTGTTTGAAAGACTAGTAAAAATCTAGAAAACTGGCTGTCTAAGGAGTTTCGGGAGTAATTCAATCTGAAGGTTCTGATAGCTCTCCTGTGGTTTACGAATAATAATAATAATAATAATAATCCTTGCAATTGAATGTTCATGAGTCATCCCCATCTCCCTTACTTCCTCTCACCCACTCCTCACTCGGTCACTGAATCATAGCCTCTGGCTCCTAGTTTGACAACTGTTATATATGTCTGTTAACATTTCAGTATTGCTGGGGCTCATACTTGCTGCTTTGCTACAGATTGATGCGATGAGTTCGTTTTTCTACTCGTATTAAAAATAGGTAGATGTCTTGACGACATGAAAAGCCGCTGTATCAAATGCAAAGATTATTATTATTATTATTAATAGAATTATTAATAGATGACCCTGTGGTAGGGCAGCCCGGGTTTGCATTTTCGTAAGTTTGATCAGAATTTACCCTAATACATGCGGAAAATGAACCCGAGCAACCATTATTTATGAAACCTCTTCCATTTTTGTCGGTAATTTGGTGACAACTGCAAAAACATAGGCTCAGAAACTCTACACGGTCTTAGCGCATGAGACCAAGATGAATTAATGCACGGAATTGTTATGTTGAATTCTCTCTGAAGCTGGTTTTTTTTTTGGCGCTCCTTAAAAAGGAACCAGCTTCAAAGTCAAGAAAGGATTTGGCGAGTTTGCAGCTCTGAACAAAAGCAACAGCAAATTACATTTATATAGCGCCTTTCGCGTCAGGAGGACGTCCCAAGGCGCTGGACAGTCAGAGGACTGCACCCGAGCTTGGGGTTAAGTTTCAAGATGAAATAGGACTTAAAGGCTAAGACTAGCTGAAATTTTGTGACTTTCCACCTCAGGGGGGGTCTGAATGATTTCTTTGAGGCACCCCATGTTACACTGCATAGCTCGTTCCCCTCAAGAAATCCATCTAAAGGAGGATAGGCCATCTTTCCTCTGGTGATTGATGTCTTGTTCAGCTTTTATGATTAAAGTTTCCCGTGAAAGGTTCTGGATGTGGAGACAACATAAGTAATAATGCGTTACAGCGCAAGGGAAGCATGATAATATCGTACTCATCTCCACATCAAGGGAGGTAAGTGAAGTGTCTGCAACATGAAGGCTTCTCTCTCTCTCTACATCTGGTTTAAAAAAAGATTGAGCGAAGGTTTATTCTAAATTAGCCCTTTAACATTACCTTTGAAACCCTGAGCCTCATTCCTTCCCTTCCTTCATCAATGGGACCTGACCAATGTGAGCCAATTAACATCAGCTACAGGTTACGTTAACAACAGATCACCTCCGTACGTTTTCATCCAAGTGTGTTCGTTCACCATTTTCCTGTCGGTCACGATGCCACTGATCTCTCCGGACACCTCTCCCGATAATTCCTTGGCCCTTGCTTTCCCTGTGTCAACATGAAAAACTCCTTGACCGTGCCTTCAGTAAAAAACCCTTGACTTCTCCGCGATGTCAAGTTACCAATGTGCGGGCGGAGTTGCTGATTGAAACCTTTCCCGGAGATAACTGGCCAGAGGACGGATGGATGGCCTATCCTCCTTCAGATGGATTTCTTGAGGGGAACGCGCTATGCAGTGTAACATGGGGATAACTGGCTGGAGTTTAAGTGCGTAAGTTTTGAGCGGTCGGTGAGATGGAGTAGACTTAATCTGCTGAATGCTCCCATTTCCAATCCCCACTTTCTTTTTTAAATTGTGTACATTTTCTGGCGGGCTGTGTCAAGTTTCGTGGGGGAATTGAAAGCGAGGGCAAAGGGCCTAAAGAAAGGAAGAATAAATGAGAGATTTTTTTTTCTTCCGACAAAGAACCCTTAATTGGTTTGTTTTTACAAAGCGAAGCCTGGATGGAAAGTTAAAACGAAAGCTTTAATCAACTTTGACCTACAAGCAGTGAAGCAGAATCAAGCTTTCAGCTTCCGCCTGATATTCTCCAGTACCCACAAAACGTACAGTCAATTCACTTTACTTGTGAAGCATTTTCAGACGTCTCGAAACCACTGATGAGGCGCTATATCCAATGCAAGGATCGTTATCATGTCGTTATTATTACTGCCTTTTCCCAGGATTTCACCCCAACTGCAATCCTTTGCTGCTTATTTCTGGGATGTGTCATCCCGGCTCAGTTGGTGGCACTCTCACCACCGAGTCAGAAGGTTATGGGTTCAAGTCCCACGTCAGTTCTTTGAACCCACATAGTTTAGGCTGACATTCCAATATGACACTGGTGGGGGGCCCGGGGAGGGGTTGTGGGTGGGGGGGGTTTGTGTGTGGGGGCGGGAGGGGAAGGAGTTGCTGGATCAGATGCCTGTTCAAGTTAAAGGATCTCGTGTTGCCATTCAAAATGAGAAGGGAGTTCATCTTTCTTTTTGTGGGACATTGCTGTGTGCAAATTGGCTGCACGCTTACCAACAACGTACTCAGTCACAACACTACACTGTAAATCCCGGGAAAGCCCTTTGGGACACCCCCACACCCCCTCCCTGTCTTGAAAGGTCTTGTATCAACTGCAGGGTTTATTATTTGAGGCCTCCGTGCTCGGTATCTCCACTCTATTTTGGTATTTCCGCTTCTTTCGCCACACACTCCTGCGGAATTCTATCCCGGTGGACGTGGCAGTCATATAGAGCAGGTGCTGCAGAGTAGATTAATTCTGATTTCAATCAAAAGGTGAGGCTATGCATCAAAATTAGGGTCTGAATGAATATCTTCTGGAAATGAACTGCCTGCTTTGAGGCTATTTATAGGCACACATCATAGAGGTGACAGGCAGCATAAATCAGTCGCCAACACAAGGGCATCTCATTGTTCATCGACAATAGATATAAATGGTTGGCGGAGCAGACAAGGACACGGGAGCAGAGAAGAAGGCTGGAATTGGAACGTTTACGCTATATTTGTAAGGACGAGATGTCACATTGCAGCTCGCTACTCTGTCTGCAGTCTGTGCCTTGGAGTCAGAGGCTTAGGCATGGTAGTAGACGTGACATTAAACTGAGACCCCATCTGCCTGGTCCAATGACGATATTCAGAAGGGAGTTTTTCCCAATGTCCTAACCAACAGTCCCCCAGCAATAAATCGGTCAATCGCTTTGTGGCTGTTTTGTGGGACATTGTTGAGCAGTGTGATAGGGGCTGGATTGAACGCGAGGATTTTTATAACCAAAAAAAGGGGGCGGTGCACCAAATGATACCGGCAATTTACATTTATGTAACGTTTTTCACGTCAGGGCAAATAATAATAATAATAATCCTTGGATTTGATTTAACGCCTTATGGCGTCGTTGATATTACTGTAAAGTGAATCAACTGTGGGCGAAAACCTCAAAACACTTCGTGCCAAAGCTGGAGGAAAGCTGAAGAGGAGACTGGAAAAGTACCTAAAAAAAAAGGTCCGATTAGAGACTTAAGACAGGTTTTGAAAGCGGAGGGAGATTTTCTTTTCTCCAGAGAGTGGGGTAGGCCGGCCTGTCGACAGTAGGCACTGGGGCAGATCGGAGATGTCAGGGTGGGGGTCGAGGTTGGTGGGGTGGGTGGGGGGTGAGTGTATTATTTCTTCAACGGCTCCAGTCTCTCGTAGGCTCAAAGCAATTGTGCGTCTGTTGCAGGAGGACGAGGTGGCAGAAGGTCATTTCAGCTTCACCGCCTACGGGATGGGACCTGCCTGCCTCCAAGCCAAGGACGGGGTCGCAGTCAAGGGCAACAACAACACGTCCAAATCCTCTCAGGCCCCGGCCAAAACGACGGAGGAGATGAGGAAGCTCTTCATCCAACGGGCGAAGAAGATCGACACAGTGTCACGCGTGGCTTTCCCTCTTGTCTTCCTGATTTTTAATATTTTCTACTGGGTGATCTACAAGATCGTGAGGAGCGAAGATATCCACAAAGACTAACTCCGAACAGAGAGAGAGAGAGAGAGAGAGAGAGAGAGAGAGAGCGAGAAAGAGAGAGGGAGGAAGTGAGAGGGAGAGCAAAGCATTCCGCGCTGCCAGAGAAAGAATACGGTCACCTGGTCACTTGAGCAATGCAGTTAAGCATGATTATAATGGAACCATGGCAATATACGAAACAAGAATGAATTTCTATATACGTCCAGACTGAAGGGATTCATCTTCGAAACCATCACCGCAAACGCATCACTGATTTCGAGAGGAGAAGATGCAGTCAATCAGTCAGTGAAAACAAAAATCTTTCATATAAGTAACTATATTATATATATATATATTATATATATATCAGCTTCATCAGACTCCTCCATGCAACCATCGGATTGCTGCATAAAATCAGAGAGAGAGAAAAAAAATGGAATGACTTATATTAATATACTAAACCTCATGTGCTTGATCTAAAATCTTCCATTTTAAGGTCACACCAAAAAAAAAATATATATATATATGTTTAAGCTCTTTAAATACTGCCGTTGTTCCCCTGTGGTGCTTTTCCTTATCATACATCGAGATGTTTTTGCACAATAATGCGGGTCTGTGTCCCATTTTAAATCCCATTTCAAATTGCACTGAAAGACTTCCTTTCTCAACCTGAAACTTAGCGTTGTGTTTCAGTACTGAAATGTGCCCCTATGTTGAATCCTTCCCGATTCCTTCACGGTCGTTTCCGGGGAATCGGTCCTTTTCGCGGGGAAGGGAGCGCGAGACCTTTTGAGACATTCCGCGTTTGAATTTTTACGTTCGATTGAGAAACGAAAATCTCCGATAGCTATTTATTTATTTACTCAACTTTGCTGGCAACGTGCTTCCCGCGCTATAGAAACAGGAGCCTTATTGCAAAATTATATATTTGTGGACGTAATAATCAGAAAAAAATTGTCGTGGATCCAATATCAGAAATTGGAGTCGCCGTATTTGGTCTAATATGACTGCATCGCTGCTAGTCTGATGTCAGGATGGGTACATCATTGATCTGATATCAGGGGAGGTGCATTATTATTCTTATTCCATTTTTAGGGATAATATGGGTATGTAAGTACTGCTCCAATATCAGGGATGGTATTGATTGTATATCCAATAGTATGGATAGATTTTCGCTGCCTGGCAAGCTTTCCCGCTGCTTGTCCAGCTAGGACCACCCTACCCGTGAGGGCTTTGGCTTGCAGGGTTAACAGGAGCGGAGTGTGGGATAGTTCCTTGCCCCCAGTGACTGGTCTGCCCTTTCAGGTCCTGCCGATGAGCCAGGCTGGGCCGTGCTGTCATCAGCAGCGCCCTGGAATACTGTGGCCCCTCCTGGCTCAGGAATATCAGGTATGGGTGTTCATTGTATATCCAGTAGGATGAATGGATTATTATCGATTTGATATTTCGGGATATCAGGGGTGTAAATATGTTATTGATCGGAAAAAGGAGATATAGATGTCAGGGTTGATTCCAAGGTTAGATTACGAAGGATAAGCAGATCATTATTAAACTGATATGAGAAAGGCACTTTAATGGCCAGTATCAAATAGCACGTGCTGGTCAATCTGGGGAAATGCTGAGCTTTTTTGGAACACAGTTTATTTTGACCTAAAAACACGCACATATATATTCATATATATATATATACATATATATTCAGATATATAGATATCTGAAAACTGTGCTGGGGTAACTGATCACAAAGTGAAGGGCTTTTCAATCTCAAGTTCACGTTCTGGAATTTCAAAGGACAGAGTTTGGAGGGAGAATCCTTGGGGCTGAAAACCGTGACCTTTCCAAGCAGATTTAACGCCACAATTAGCACGTGGAGTCTGTTACGAAACCTCGCTTTTTTTTTTCAGCTTCCCCCTTTATCTGTGCAGTGTTCAGTATTAATCGAGTCAGGAGCACACAGGAAATGCTTTGAGTGGGGACGGGGATGGGTGGGGGTGGGTGGGGCGGGGGGGGTTGGGGAAAGGCAGCGAAGGGTGGGGGGGGGGGAGGGTAGAGACACAGTTGGGGAGTTGACAAGGTTCTTTGGGAGAACTTTGATTTTTTTCCTGCCTTTGATCCGAAAGGGGTTTAGGATAGAATTTCAAGGGGAGCGATGCACTTTAAGAATGCACTGATGGAATACGTGAGTGGTGGCAATATACTGTATAAAAGAGGAACGCTGGAGATTAAACAAAAAAAAACCTTCCTTCGATGTTGACTCATCAGCCAAGCACAGTGTTTCTGTTGCAATTATGCACAAGTGGCTGTTATCATATCAAGCAGAGAATGGATTGCGTTGAGTTTAATGCCAGTAATTAGCTGTGCCAAATGGAAGGAAAACAAAACAAGGGGAACATTTCAGACTAAAGAACATTTGGTGTAACCTTAATAAATCATTTAAAAAAAAAAAAAATTCCCAGCTGAAATTCATCAGCACGAGACAACGTGATTTGCATCAGGCAGATTTGTTTCACTTATATACAGTAATTTAAAAAAAATTAAAAACTGTACATTACACATGTGTAATTTTGCATGAATATGTGATAAACAGAATTATGAGAGATATTTTTTGGCTTGTACAAACGAGATGGTAATTTGCCCATTGCTGAACTCTTTTAATTTTGAGGAGAATGTATAATTTAGCCAGTCACTGTATATAAAGAGATATTTATGAATTATGAACCAATCCAAATTAAACATTTTCAGAACTGTTATGTCAGTGTCTTTCAAACTCGCCGATCGAATCAAGCCTCCAGTCCACTGCTGAGAAGGCCAAAACACGCCTGTAAATAGCCCATTTAACAAACCGATTGAGCCCCCAAGGGTTCAACCTGGCTCAGTCGGTAGCGCTCTCTCCCCCGAGTCAGAAGGATATGGGTTCGAGCCCCACCCGGAGCTTTGAAATCACAGTCTCTAGGCTAATGCTCTAGTTTAGTGCTGGGGGGGTGCCCCACATTTATGGAGCTGCCATCCTTCTTAAAAAAAAAATACACCTTTCAACCATCCCTTCAGTTACCTTTCCCCCCACCTTGCTTTTCCCCCCTTGCTGCAAGTTCCGCATTCTTCCCATTAACCACACCCATTGACGCTCAATCTCTCTCTCTCTCTCTCTGCAGGTGTTAAGAGTTTCATGTCCAGGGCAAGGGAAAATATACCACCCAGTTTAGCAAGCCAACTGCAATGCTGCGTAGGTGACACTCTGGAGCTGTCATCCTGATCCAGGTTAAGCTTTATAAATGGGAAGCATGTGCTAATGCTGTGATGTGGATGGGTGCTGTGCTTTGGAGCATTTAGCTTCATCCTTGAGAATTACTGGCACCATATGCATAGGAACAGGCAGCCAATGTTGTAGCCTTGGTCCACGCTGACTGGATCATCTGGGAACTTGTATGAGAGCTAACTTCAAGATAAGGTTCTGCTTCATTCAATGCCATGGAAATGTGCACGTATACTATCTATGTTTTGATCTGAACATTAATACAGTTGGTATCAATAACATCAACTACCAAATGTGTGATTACCATAGAACCACCAAATATTACAGTGCAGAAGAAGGCCATTCGGCCCATCGTGCCTGTGCCAGCCCTTTGGAAGAACTACCCAATCAGTCCCAATCCCCCACTCTTTCCCCATAGCCTTGCAATTTTTTTTTCCTTTTCACGTACCTATGAAGTTCCTCTGAAGGAATGTGCAGTTGTTGGGTTACTGGGTAATGTGGTTGAGGACCAGGACACCAGATTAGTTTAAGCAACAGGTTGACGCTGTATTCTGCAAAGATGAGGTCAAATGAAACAAACCTGCCCTGTGATGATGTGGGGGTTTCTCCTGGTGCGATGGTACAGAGTGAATTGTGAGCAACTTGCAGCCGTCAGCACGACTGAAATTCTTGCTTTTGGGGCAAAAGTGAGAACGCAATAAGCTCTGAGCGCGAGCGAGGCAGAAACGCAGCTCCCAAAGGCAGGAACCCACGCGTTAATATCGAACAAAAAATGGCAAATAACACAAACCTCACAGTTTCAGGCCGTACGGCAGTGGAGGTTTCTGAATAGAGTAGGTTATCGCTGTTGGTTGAATCATTTATAAGACATAAGAAATGTCCCCCGCCAGCAGAGACAGAAAGCAGACTGTGGTTCATTTAGTTCAAAGTAGAAACGACTGGTACTATTCTTAAATCCTCCTCGGCCTGTGACACAATTTGCAAATCCCACATGAGCACAACGCTTAAAACATGGATCATCGCAGACACAACTAAACTGGTTTAACAATGAAAAGCGGTCAGACTGAAATCCTCCGAAATCCAGCTATTCCAAGACCTAGACATCCTCGTACATAATCCCACCCGGAGTTGAAAGAGCTGCATCTATTCGGGAGAGTTATCAATAGCATCAATATCTCTGTTTAGCCTGCGAGTAATCTGGTGCTGACAGTGACGATGATGTTTCCTTACTCCACACGTCTCTGATTAGCGAGCAGTAAGGAGGAACACGGTCGTTAGTCGATTGACAGATCGCTTTCTGGGGGTAATAATCCCTCCCCCCTAAAAAAAAGATTTTGCTTACTCAATTGAGAGCTGATTGTGGAACACTGCTGTGCGCAATTAACTGCTGCATTTTGCCCACATAATACACAGGAAATCCACTTAAAAATATATTCTGTGAAGCGCTTTGAAACGGTCTCGAAGACGTGTTAAGGCACTATATCAAATGCAAGGATTATTATTATTATTATTCAGGACTGATGGGTTAACAGGTTTGCAAATGGATGAAAAGCGATCATTTGGTTTGCTAAAGTGGAAGATTTTAAGACTGGGCAGTCTTAATCACTCTCAAAGCGAGGGTTAAGAGATGTGATGAGAGAGAGAGAGAGAGAGAGAGATGGGCAGAGTGAAAGTAAGAATGGATGGAGGAGAAGTGAAAGCATTGAGAGGTGGTGAGGAAAGAACTTATTGGAGCAACGTTGGAAAGGATGGAACAATGAAGAGGGAGAAAGTAAGGGACGAACTAGAGAGAAAGAATAGGAGAGAACGAGCAGTGAATTCAGAGAGAAACTGTTAGTGTATATTGCTGGGAAATGAGTGACAGAAAGCAAATGTAATGTAAGAGAGAGAGAGAGAGAGAGCGCGCGAGCGTAAAAGAGAGTGTCGCAGTTAAGTGAGGCGCCGCGGTTATAAAGGTTCAAATGATTTATGACCGGCGTTCTGTTCCATTTCTGGTCATCGTAACAGTAACAAATGGAGCCTCGGAAGTTCAGCTCTTAATAACTGGGAGAAATGCTGACATAAGGGTAAATCATCTCAGCCCAGCCAACCTGCTTGTGTGAAATTTGTATGTTGAAGCTCTCTCCGCTGCGGGTTCTTTGTGAATCCTGCTGCCCCGTGATTAGTTTGATTGATTTTGGAACTCTTTGTTAATGGTTCATTGGGCTCCATCTGTTTCAC